AAAAAAAATAGAAACATAAAGGAAACGTTTCATTAACTCTACATCTGTGTAACTGCTATTTCTTTAACACAATCAGAAAATACAAACTAAATACATACTAAAAATAATGATAACACTTTTCAATAAGGTTCAATTGGTTAATATATGTTAATTTATGTTAATGTTAATTTCTATATATACTAATACACTTTTCACATGTAAAGTTCTAGAAATTACCATACACTAGCATTTAAAAGTCTGGGTTCTGTTAAGATTTTTTAGTTTTCGCACATTAAGTTCCTTTTTTTAATTTATTTGTTCAAAAATACAGCAAAATAATAATTGTTAAACTTTATAACAATCTAAAATAAGTTTTCTTTTTTAATATATTTTACATAATAAATATATTTTTAAAATTCCAGTGATGGCAAGCAATACTATATTTATAAATGAACACTATCCTAGATTAATAAATGCTGCAAAAATGTGTTTCATTGCTGGTTCATGATTTCTAATGGATTAACAAATTGAGCCTTTTTGTAAAGTGCTACCAAGACAATAATCCAAAAATGCAAGTTGGTATCATATCATCCTAAAACAGTTTTCATATGGCAGTATAATACATGTAGCATTCACACTGATTGTTAGCTACCAATATCTTGTCTAACAATTTTTTTGGACAATCTGCAGCTATGCAAATTTGTTACAAATGAGCCAACACTACTGGTGGCCCTCTAAAGCAGTTGGTTTGTTGCATCTCAGTATGCAAGTCCGGTATCACAGCAATCAGTGTAAACATTCATGCACATTTGGCTTTTACCAATACTAGTTGCATCTTGAATATATAAACCAACATAAATATGAAAAATAAAATGTCTACAACCACCAAAGTACTTTTTGTTAATGTGCTAAAACACTTCCCTCTCTTCTCTTTCTAACTGCTTTGCATTATATCCTGCTTTGTGTGTCTCTTCTCTGCTTAAATTGGAAGTGTGTTTTCCATAATCGCTGATGATGTGTTTAAAGTACAGAAGGAATGTGGCATGCAACAATCATCCTGTGTCAAAGTGCAGGGTCAAGTGAAGATCAAGGCAGCTACGTGTAGGATTCAACATCTCCTGTCACCGAGATTCCATCAATGTTTTAACATACTACAGCATGTTGTCTCTAACCCTTTATCAGCACACCCCTCCGTAAGTCTCAGAAAATACACCCTACTGTGTGACTAAAGATTCCCCGCAAAAACTCAGCAGACAGCAAAAACAGAATTAAATCAATAAACGGCTTCTCACCTGTCATTTTCATCCCAGGAAATGCAGGTTTGGTTTGTGGTACCCTGTGGAGAGTGTAAGAGGGCGAGAGGCAGAGAAGGATGTCACCTTGTGATTTTGCCTTGCAAATATGTATCAGAAATTCTTCAATTATGGGCACTTTTGCTACCTGAAATCTTAAAATATTAAACTGCTTCACACCATTTTTCATTAAAAATTGTTTTTTCATGTCCTGGAATAAAGATCTGATTATAGCCATCAGAATTAATTTTAATGTGTCAGAGTGACATAGCCATAGTTTGAATAATATTGGAAAAAGACATCCTGTTTGATGCAACATATGGGTTTAAAGGGCAGACTGACTTACATTGTAAAGGTGTGAGAACTCAATCTCTAGTGGAGTTGAGAGGGAGCTGGGAATGGGTTTGATTGTCACAGAGATCACCTTGGAGTTCAGCACTGTGCTATTTCTGTGAAAATACAGAGAGGGTTGAGAGAAAACATGAGGAGGACTGCAAAAAAACAGAAGGGGAAAGAAGAGAGGAGGTCTTGGCCTTCAAGCTGCAATGTTCCCATGTGACACAGAGAGTAGTACTTCACTTTGTGCTCTGGTAAATGTGCATGTCACACACACAGCAGTCTTTTTTGTCACTTTTTGTGTCACCAGATATCGGTTTCAAAATAACCACAGTCCAGAAAATGAGAGAAAATATTCTTGTTATTATTTTTCCTCTTGCAGAGTGTGCAAAGTCCCTTTAACAGAACAGTTCAGCCAAAAATTAAAATGTTGTCATCTTTTCACATGAATCACATGACTCACCGTCATGTCATTCCAAACCTTTACAACTTTCTTTCTTATATAGATCATAAAAAATATTTTGAAAAATATCTTAGTGTTTTGTTTGTCTATATAAAGGAAATTTTGAAGAATGTTACGAACATCAATATATCTTCAAAACATCCTCTTTTGTGTTCTGCAGAAGAAAGAAAGTCACACAGGTTTGGAGTGACATGAAAGTGAGCAAATGATGATAGTAAATTATTTTCATTTTTGGGTAAACTATTGCTTTAAAGGGACTTTGCACAAAGTTGTCTCCTCAATAGTGAAAATATCATACAAACACACACATATAAAAGAAAATACACACTTTTCCTTGTAATAGTATTATTAGTTCACTTGGTGGCCATCTTGGTACAGAAACCTATGAAGGTAATAAGCATACACATATAGCTTCTACCTGATTGCATGGGGGGGGAGGGTCCAAAAATGTTTGTCAAGGTAAGTAAAACATCAAATCTGACAACAATGGTATGAAAAATGTCACTACTTTAGCTAAAATAATGCTAAAACCTGAGAAAGAAAAATAATAGAAAGAGAATCCACCTTGAAAAGCACAGTCTCAACACAAAATGAAAGCAAAGTCTCACCTCTGTAGAGAGAGAATACTGCCCAAGTTTCTGTACAGTACAATGCCAGTTACAAATGCTGAGGTGTCATCTTCATCTATAACACAAACACACACGCATTTAAGAGATGTACAGTATCACATAAGTTCGTGTTAAATAAAGAGTCATAAAGCAAAGGGATGGAGAAAAGAAATGCTAGAAGAGGTCACTGAGATACAGACTTGATTGATGCGTAATCAATCCCTTTATTTAGAGCCCTGTAATGTAACTGGAGGTGAGACTGCAGGTCGCTGCCTCTCTTCCCGTTTCTCAGGTTTTTACCCTGCAGCTTCTCACCTATGAGTTGTGCAACATGACTAATGCTTATAATAAATAACATATGCTTGCACAAACGTTTGAGGTCAGTATGATTAAAAAAAAAGAAATTAATACTTTTATTCAGCAAGAATGCATTAAATAGATCAAAAGTGACAGTTATGTTCTATTAAAGAATCCTGGAGAAAGAAATGCATCATGGTTTACACAAAATATTAAATTAATTCCTTTATTCAACAAGAAGGCATTAAATTGATTAAAGTGGTAGTAAAGACATTTGTTTTTCATGGTTTCCACCAAAATATTAAGCAGTACAACTCTTTTCAACGTTGATAAACATAAGAAAATAGTATTTGAGCACCAAATCAACATATTAGAATGATTTCAGAAGGATCATGTGACACTGAATACTAGATTAATGGCTGCTGAAAATTCAACTTTGCCATCACAGGAATAAGTTACATTTTAAAATATATTAAAATAGAAAAGAGTTATTTTAAATTGTAATAATAATGAGCAAAATGACTGTTTTACTATATTTGTGATCAAATAAATGCAGCTTTGGTGAGCATATAAGAGACTTCTTTCATAAACATTTAAAAATCCCACCGACCCAAACTTTTGAACAGTAATGTATAAATATACAGGTATATAGCAAGCAAATCATGGTTGTGTGACATAACTAAACTTTCAGATATCGCTCACACAAGTATATACGGATACACATTATTGGCTTGTTGGTTTGAAATGACAAGGTGATATTTCTTGTGCTAATGAAGAGAGCAATGCAGTTGAAATGGCGGGAGTGAGGGGAAAGGGCAGCGCTCCAGCCTCTGTCACACTCACACTGCATCACTGTCAGCAGAACCTCCTGAAACAATACACACACGCTAGCTATATCGTTCTAAATCAGGCCAAACCATGTGGCAGACTGGCATGCACTGTAAGGGAGAGAAAGAGTGAAAGTCTGTAGGGGGGTGCCAGGTGGTGGGCAGAGGCCACAGCTCCAGTGCTGCAGCTGAGGTCCCATGGGCAAGAACACAGACTGATGGAGGGGGGCCAGGGCTGGGGGTGTGACAGTTTCGAGCTCCCTCAGGGTAATCGGGTTTCTATTTGCCCACCCTTACTAATATGCCACAGCCATGATAATGTGAACAGATGAGACCCGAGAGGACATTTATGGACAACACAAGGTACTAGAGGAATGGACATTGTTAAAAAAAAAACAGTTTGTAACATTAAAAGAAACACATTTTTTGTTTGTTAATATTTTAAGTCCATACACTGTAAACAAAGCAACTAAACAAAAAAAAAATATTATATTAAATTTATACATATATTAAATGTCCTGTATAGAACCTAAGACCAACAGACAAGAGTACCTTAAATATAAATATATCAAGCTTAAATTTTCTCAACAATTCTGTTTTTACAGTGCACTGAAAAAAATGGTGTAGGATTTAGAAAAAAAAATGTTCCTCATAAATTTCTAGTAAATAGTAAACAATTACAAAGATAAAGCAAGTAACGCGTTGAATTAAATGTGAACTTTTGAAAAAGAAAGACTGAAACAGTATTTTCTAGTAAAACTTACTCCAATAACCTGCTTTATTAACTTCCAAAAATGCATTTTTTACAGTGCATGTTCATTTCATGTTTTTTACTTAATGTTTTAAATTTACTTAAGAAAATGTAAATGCACATTTTTAATTTATCATGACATGAACAACAATTACCCATAGCAATAACAGTTACTCATTTAGATTAACTTAAGTAACCTTTTTAAGTTGTATCAATTTAAAGTCGTGATGAGATGGACATATTAACGGATATTTTCTTCTGTTTTGTGACACAACTGAGTGTAAAGGATTATTGATAAAGAAAAAATGTAGGGCGTAGTTCTATGGATCGGTTGATGACTGGATGTTGAGATGTAGATGTTTCACTCAAAAGTGGAGGCTTGAATGTGAATGTGAACTTGCAGGGGTGGGGTGTTAACGCGGACTGAATGAAATCCTGCATACGTCCCTGGAGAGAAGTCTGTCATTTTTACAGGAAGTTCCAGAAGTGTTTCGCTCTCTGAGAATGTGTTTCATTGGATTCAGTCTGTCAAATTCCTCACTCACTCATCTCATTCTAAAGCTTCTTTAATATAAAAGCTCATCTCAGTGTGTCCAAAGCTTGACGACCTGTCAATCCAGCACTGGTGGCACGGCAACAGATCTCCCAATGGGAAAAGGAATTAAACCTAATTGCGCCTGATTGGCTCCTGGCGACTCCTGATTAAGTAGCAGCTCTTCTATTAGCATAGTTGCGGGGGTAGGAGCCTCTTAAATGGCCTGTATTGTCGGACATGAACAGTGAACAGCCTACAGCAATCTGCTCTCTAGCGAAGGAGATAAAATCCATCAAACAAACAAAGATTTGTTATGAACACAAATACTGTTTTTGCTAGAAAAAAACAGCAAAGAGACATTAAATTACTCAGAGAGAAAAAAAAGGTAATGGAATGAGTAGGCAAGAATCCAGGCATAAGAATGGAATTTACTGTGGAATTTAGTGCGGAGGGTCACAGCATTTGGAAATTTTGAAATAATAAATCAAAAGTAAGGATATAAAATGAATCAAATTCTAACTGTGATATGAACATTAGGAATTATTAAACCACAAAACTACTCACTCTGCATGTTTCTAAGTGAATGAACGGCCATTTCATTTGTAAAAATTATAAAAACTATTGCCATGTAAAATACACACAGAAAATCTTCATGACAATCAGCCAAAATAAAAGTCTGGTTCACTTCATGAAATAATGATAGAAACATATTACTTCTCAAAGTAAGAATAATAAGAATAAGAAAAATAACATTCATTTTAGATTATTATTATTATTATTATTTTTAAGGAATATCGTAATCAAGAGATATTTACATCATACAAGTTTTAATTTATGCAGTAATGTTCTGATGTGCAACACAAAAAATGTTTTAGAACATTTTACTGTGAATTAATTGCTAAATTTGATTTTCTATTGATTACATTTGAAAGGATTAGACTTAAAAAGGATTTAAAAAATAGAATCTGGAAAAAAAAACTAAAAATGATAATAATAAATGGAATTTTGGAAAAAATAAAATTAATTTCATAGTGTCTTAGATGAACACACAATGCAAGCCAGATTCAAACCTGTGCTTCTCATATGAGCACCAAGGCTCTATGTGTCTGCAGCATGTGCTTACACACAAATATGTGTATAGTTGTGTGAGACTTTGTGTTTCTTACCTGGTTTTCCAGTGACCAGGATGTCTTTAGCCACTCTGACTTTGTCCTCAGAGTTGCAAGCCCAGTCCACCATCCCTCTCCACCCCTTCATGGGGAAAGTGATATCTGCATTTCCTGCGACAGGCCGCTTGTGAATACTCAACACTGGAGGGAGAATCCAGAGGGAACTGTAAGATCCATGGCAACACCAATATCCTGACTCACTGCATAACGATCACATCTCAACTAGAGAAAGTGTCATGCTGTCAGACGACTCCCCCATACAAACTCTCTCAGCTCAAACGCTTTCATTCTCTTATGATCCCAGCCTTCTGCTGCCAGCCATATTCTCTGTACCACTTCACAATGACAGCATTTTAATCACTTAAAGAATTTCCAAAACTTGTAAAAGACCCATTTTTATTTATGAAACTCGAAAAATAAATCTTTCATAAAGCCATTTGTACTTTTCAAATCAATGTAATGGAACAATTTACATACCGATGGTTTTACTTATGAGTTATACATAAATTTGCACTGGTTGTATTTCAAGACTTTCAAACTAACCAAGTAACCAACTAATTCATCTCAGCTTTAGAACTTGTGTTTACAGGGCTGATATACTTATATGTTAGACATCGTGTTTTTATTCTAATCAAATACAGAGTTTTTTTTTTTTTGGACACAGCAAGGAATTATATTTAAAATAAATGCTTTTAAATTAAAAATATATGTATTTTGAAGTTTCTATTCATCATAAAATACTGAAAAAGTTAATATCCACAAAAATATTAAGCAGCTCAACTTTTTTCAACATTGATAATCAGAAATGCATACAAATCAGCATATTAGAATGATTTCTGAAGGGTCATGTGACACTGAAGACTGGACAAATGATGCTGAAAATTCAGCTTCATCATTACAGGAATAAATTACATTTTAAAATATATGAAAGGGGTGGTTCATTGCGATTTCACATTTTTAACGTTAGTTAGTGTGTAATGTTGCTGTTTGAGCATAAACAATATCTGCAAAGTTACGAAGCTGAAAGTTCAATGCAAACGGCCTTTTCAAATTCTGGCAGTTTAATGCCTACAAAAACGGCTGGTATAGGGACTACAACAAGTTACTTCCCGGGTTTGTGATGCAGATAAACCCTGCCCTCGGGAAAATGCAGCAAAGGGGGCGAGGCCTGCACTGCTTGAAGAGGAAGAGAAAACTAGAGGTGCACTTAAAAATCTATTCATATATGAATCGCGATTCTGTCTTCTAACGATTCTAATGGATTCACAAGTTTCAAAATCAATGTTCCATTCAGATCACCAGCTCAGCTCCAACAATGAACTGTTCCATTTATACACTTATTTTCACATAGCTATGAGAAGCATTATACATGGACGCATGTGCAGTTGCCGTACTGTATTAAAGCTTTAATCAGGATAAAACCGTATATTAAAAGCTAACATAAGCAGTAGCATTTACAAATAACAGCGTATCTAAAAGTATGAGACAACAACAAACAAAAAACCTATGCCTACCATTAAAAGCCATGCTTGCACAGGTTCTGCATGATCCTTTTCAATAATATCCTTTGCTTCTCAATCGGGCTCAAACTGATAAGCGATATTAACAATGCCGCTGTTTACAATACAACCGGAGCTAGTGCTGATTTCTGAGGGCGGGGCTTCATAAAAACAAGAAAAGATCTGCCCGTTTCTCAGAGAAGGGACAGAGCGGTGTGGAATAAATTATTTCACATAAATTATGTGAAAAATAATGTGTTTTTTTTTAAAACGAAGCATTAACACGTTAGACTGCACCCCATAAACACAATCAAGCCTAGAAAAAAAACAGTGAACCACCCCTTTAAATTCGAAAACAGTTCTTTGAAATGGTTATATTTGACCATTTAACTGTTTTAACCACTTGGCCATGGCCCTGACATCACATTGTTGCATCCAAATCCAGTTTGGAGCAGAGACATTAAATTACTTAGTGAAAAAGAAACTAACTCTATACAGTACCACTCATGTTCTTGTGTTCAAGTTCTTGTGCAGTATTTTCCATCTGTTGATGAATGTGTGGTGTTACGTATACATATATCTGCATCTTAAAGCTTTGTGTGGGACTGATAGGTCATTGCTGTAGGACAGGTGTTGTCACTATTGGAGAATCTGAGCTCATGGGCAGCTCAGTGATTCAGAGGTAAACAGAACCTCTCACACTCCCTTTTAAACTCTGCTAGCTGCAGCCCACAACGTATGACCATGAAGGTTCATCTTCCTGCTGTTTTTGCGAACCTGGGTGCTGAGTAAACCATAGTCATCTTTGTGCAGGAGAGATGTGTGTGGTTTAGAGTGTGATTCCAAAGCTATAGAAATGCATAGAACTATACATATTTGGAAATCTGTGTGAGCAGCATATCAGGGACATACTCATTCATAGCTCAGGGACTGTTCGGCATTTTCAAAGGGATATTGTGTATTATGGTTTTCTAATGAGTGTGAAAATGTTCAAGGTGTGAGTGAATAATAGAGTTGGGGGTGATTTCAATTGGTCTGTTTCAGCACCATCAAAAGCCAAAAGTGTTTTTAATTAAACAATTAATCAAAAAGGTAAAAATGTATATATATATTTATTATTTATTTACTTATTAATTTAAATGTATATATTTATTTGGTGAATTTATAGTGTTGTAACTAAAAGTGCAAACACAAAAAAAGATGACAATGACAGCCATTTAGAACTACGAGAAAGGGTCATAGGTAATCACCCATGAAGATTTATATACATCACATCCTGAATGGTTAGAAATGGCTTTTAAAAGACCTTTCCACATTACTGGACACCATGCATCAGATGGTTAATTATTTTTCAGTGTAATTTGGTTCATGTTCTCCTGTTCTTTCTTGGGTTTGTAGCTGCAACTTCTAGGCTGCCTTCCCAAACATTCAACCATTTAAGAAGATGACCATCACCCTCTGACATTATTGCAAGTGTGTAAACAAGTTAAATGTCAGTGGAAACTGACCCAGATTGTCGGTGACCTCATAAGTATCCTGGAAGTCCTTCATGCGGAGACTGATGACGTCCAAAAAGTCCTCCACTAGACGAAAAAGCTCCTTAACGTTGGGGCCCAGCTGCCAGAAAGAAAATCAGGGCTTAATGTTAAAATATTTGTTAGTTCTTCTTTCAATATGTGATTCTGTAAGTGCATTTTAAATGTTATTGTTATAAATATATTTTTCTAAAAATAACGGCTGCTGCTGCTGCACAAGCTTAATGATATCCTTCCTTCAGAATGCAAACTGAAGCTTGCGTTAAGACATAAATGGTAAACTAACTAATGATCTAACTAAACAGCAGGAGACAAACAGCTGAATGAAAGATGTGCAGCGAAGAGAAGAGAATTGGCCAATTAATCACCTTTAAAACCAGCTGAACCTTGCATAATTACTAAATGAAAGAGAGTGAGAAGATGCCGAAATTAAAAGAGGGAATGAGAGAATGATGAATGAGAGAGTAGAAGAATGAATGAGTGAATAAATGAATGACAGAGACATGGAGAGAGAGAGAGAGTGAAGGCTGACTCACCAGTTGTGCTTCCTCCCACCTGTCCCTGTTTTCTTCCATCAGTAAGTTACTCACTGACTGCACAAAATTCTGTGAACAAAACCACATGACAGAGAAACATTCAGGGGCATTCAGGGTCAAATCTTTTATTTAAAACTAATGCTTCACTAACCCTCATGTCTGCATTACTGGGGCTGTAGTAGGACCTCCTAAATATCTCCGTCATGTTTTTCAGTACATCTATGATAGCCAGAAGGTCTCCACTGTAGCTTGTTCCATCACTTGACGTCACCCTCAGCTTGGTCATGACTTCAGAGACCCCATCTCCCACAAGCCCTCGTTGAGCCTTGGACAGGTGATCTCTGGTCTGGAGTAGGTAAAAAAAAAAAAAACCTTACCTTTGCAGACACCATCTTGGTTTTAACTTAATTAGAGCTTAGATTGGAGATCACCTACCAGTGTTTGGATACTTCGGTAGTCATTTGAGACGCATTTCAAGTATGTTGGGCTCTCCCAGTATGCAATGCCCTCATCATCCAACGAACATCGCCGAATAATTAGTCCTGCATCACAGAAATGTGTCATCATTACCAGATTTTGAACAAGGATTGGTTAAAAACTGTATACTGCATGTTTGTTGGTTTTTCTTTAACCCAAGCTTTTGGAGCTGTCCATGGTCCTGAAAATGTCTCAGTATAGCTTTGAGGGTAATGACTGTTTAGGAAGTTATTCTGGTGTGTTCGTGTTTGCATGAGTCATGTCTTACCTACAGCATTCGGAGGGCAGCGGACAGCTGCAGTGTCTCCTGCAGGAGTTTTCTTCCACACTACGTTAGAGAAATTCTCCTCGTCACAGATTTCATGCGGCTCTGCATAAAACCAAACAAGTAAAAACCACAAAAACCTGAACAATCCCACAACATGTGATCAAAGAAACAAGTAAGGTACAGAATTACAACATAATTCTTCTGAAATCTATAAATAGTAGAGAATAGGGGTGGACGATATAACCAAAATGAGTAATTGTGTTTCATGACAACAGTGTATATCACAATTGTTATTTTTGCTGCAAATAAGGTTGTTACAATGCCAACATTTTAGATGCAAATATTTCAGTGCCATAGCAAAAACCAATTCTAGCCTAACTAATACAAGTAAAAGGTTCTCAACCTTACTGAAGACAAGAAGCAGGTATCTTAGGCTACTGTCACTTTAAGACCTAATACATGGCTCTAATGCTCTAACTTAAGACAGGCATTTTGACATAACTTTGTGTGTATTCGACCGTTTGAGCGAAATAAAGTGCAAAAATAACACGCTGTGACAGGTGGCACAATAAGACATGAAAGAGATCTCAGTTAAATACATGTGCACAGTTCTGACAGACGGTTTTAATTAAAAACGTCTTTCAGAAATAAAACCATCTGTCAGAACAGTGCACAAGTATCAAACTGAGACCTCTTTTGCATTTTATAGTGATTTAAAATCTCTCTAAAGTTTAACGTGTCAAAACGTAAAAAGGCAATGTACAACACTGTCACGATAGAGATGGTAATCGAAAATGTATACCAGTTGTCAAATTTCAACCAGTTTACTGTGTCTACCAGTATATTGACCACCCCTAGCAGAGAATGACTTTTGGTTACAACCATGCGATTGTCTCACCTGGACATCTCTTCTCATTGCAACGTCTAACTTCCTCTCTGTCCCCTGGGCATGGCTCCCCCCCAAAAAATGGACCGTAACACACCCTCTGTCTTTGCTGGCTTCCTCCACCACATGTTTTGGTACAACCAGCCCAAGAGCTCCAGAGCTGCCATTGGCCATCCACAGGACACTCTCGGAGGAAGCAGTCTCTTGTCTGACGCCACTCGCCCTGACACTCCAGGCCCCCATACGAGGGCCCATTACACTCCCGAGTGCGCTGCATTGTTCCATTTGAACAGGACGAGGAACAGGAACTCCAGCTGGACCACTCATTCCACACGCCATCCACTACAGAGTAAAAGCCAAAGTTATAAGAAGAAACTGAAGAATTTTCTAAATTTGAGGATAGAGGATACAAAGAACTGAAAGTGGAGCATGATAAGGGGACATTATTGGAAGATATATTGCAGGGGAAAGAGAAAGGAGCTTTGGGTTGCCAAACTCCAGTCCAATCCGCAGTGATTTAAAGCCTCTATTAATCACCATCATTTGCTGTGAACTTCACAAAGTTTCCTTTCAATCTCCTTCTCTACAGTGCCTCACATTAGGATTTAATTGTGCTGCTTGATGAAAGTTATTAAATCTGTATGAAACAGTCTGTATTTAAAGACCCAAAGATCACCTGGGCATACAGCAATGTTGCAGAATTTGGTCTGTTTTTCCGGACCATCGCAGGGGTTTCCTCCAAATTGTGGCTGCTTGCAGGAACGGGTACGGTCTCTGTACCCACGGCCGCACGTTGAAGAACACAAACTCCATGGAGTCCACTCATCCCACGACCCGTGTACTGTAATCAGAGCGGCTAGGGTATGATTTATAGAGAGAAAAAAGCACCTCGACAACACACCAGGGAAAAACTAAAGAGCGGTTCACACTGACAACGGTCTACAACAACTTGAATTCATTTATTTTAAACAGGAGTTGCCTATTTCCCGATGGCATAAGCCACTGTTTGGGATGAGAAAAATTTGAGAAAAGTTTAATGAGAAGTGACGTAATGGGACGACTACCAATAAGAGTGAAGACATTGGAGCACACTGAGCAGTATGCATTGATCATTGTTCATCTTGTTCATGATATGATGTAATGCTGCAATTTTACGAACATTTTCTACTCCATTTTTAGCAGCAAGAAAACGTATTCCTTGTCCAAACAGAAGAACATCTTATTTTTACCAGCAATATATCATATTTGTGATCAGATGTTCAGAAGCTATTGCCATTTACATAGCCCGCCAATGTTATGACAGGAACGCCTACTAGGAAAGACTGTATGATACCCAAGATGGTTCACTCATATTGCTATGAATTGGAAAATCTGCAACGCACAATATGGCGGCTCTAGTAATGGAAGTCAATTCTTTGAAATAAGAGATGTTAGTCGTTTTGCACTGCAGTTACTTTTAGACATACTGCTTCCCACATAAACCTCATGTTTAGGACTGCACGTCTGCATTGGCATTGACCAACCAGAAATATATGCATTTCAACATCAACTGAGTGCAAGAAACAACATTCACAAGACAGTTCACGTACATTTTTTTTTTTTGCTAATTTGAAATAAGTTTGTCGAGCAGTTTTTGAGATTTTGAGATTTTCCCCATTCGATTAGATCTTGCATGCCAGGATGTGCATTGCAAATAGAACCACCACGTGACTTGCATTCCAAGAGACTTTGCTACTAGCTACCAACAATACAGCAAAAACAGCTGTCAGTGTGAACAGAGAATTACAGGTAGAGTAGTGTGCAAAAAGTAAAAATTTTGGCTGCAAGTTCTTAATGTTAAGTCAAATCATTGTTTTCTTCTGCATAAAGTTATTAGCACTTACTACAACATTGTGCTTGTCTAGACACATTTTTTTTTTAATCTGAATAGCATTTTTGTCTGGCCCCCTGAGATGCTGAAATGCTAGAATGAAAAGAGATTGACAGAGACCATCCTACATGCAGTGGGAACTACGCACTTGAACCCATTAACATCTTACCACGGCTCTCCAGCATCCAGGGTTGAGGGGGGGACAGCCGTACATGGAAGCCCAGGAAGAGTTAGCCTCAGGTGGGCAGCGGATGGAGGGTGGGTAGGCAAAGCTAATGGACCTGAGTGGAGGTGGGACGGGTGACGGGAAGTGGATAAGGAAGATGGTGGAGGTGAGGAGAGGCCTGAGGTGGGCTTTGCTTACCTGGACATACAACAGTGTTATTGCAGGGTCTCTGTTCACGCAGCGGCCCGCTGCACTGCGTGCTGTACGGCACGGAGACACATAAGCGTGTGCGGCTCTGCCAGCCCTCACCGCATGTGGTCGAACACGCGCTCCACGCAGACCACTCCCCACCCGACGGAGGATCCACTGAGAGGGATGAGGGGAAGTGGGGAGGGGGATGAGATGGGGTAGAGAGCAGAGGAAAGGGTAGGAAAAGGGCCAAAACTAATTAGCATGCGGGATTAGCCACCTTATTTAACAGGGGAAGCTTAAATCATTTAGTCGCTGACTCCATATCCTCAGCATTTACCCATAATAGAAGTTCATGCTTCCAGTTTTGGGATATGTAAGTCAGCCATATATACAAGGATTTCACCCAATAGATCAGACTTTAATATCTGAGCAACTGGGAAAGCCAAGGAATCATGTTGTAATCACAAAGTTATGGGAACGTATTAAATGTCCAATAGGAAGCACTTGGTTGTCTTGACAGTCCAATAGATAATATGAGCTATCATGGCTGTCCAATGGAAAGAGTTAGGCTATCATAACCATCAGGTGGAACGAAATGGAGAATCAAGAATGAAAAGGAGGGAACAATTTAACCTTATTCTGACACCATTAGGGGTAATAAACGTTTTAGTTTTCATACTAAATCCCTGCATAAGCATACTTAATAATATGCATATACATGAGTGTTTTATTTTTATCTCTGAAACCATCAGTAGACAATTTTTTTGTGCACCATTTAGTTTAGAAATGTGCATAAAATTGTGTATTGTTAATGCTGCTTCCAAAAGTAAAATGAAAATTGGTAAAATCATGCACAGCATTTTTTGAATATACTTTCTGATTCATAGAAAAAAACTTTTTTTTGGTGTAAAATTTAAATATGAAGACCCAGCCTCTATTTATGGATTTACTGATTTGTAGCACATTGGAATGAAATAGAAGAAAATAGTATTTATTTTGAAGTGACAGGCTCATATCGGTGTAACTGTAAAAATGAAAGACATTCATGCAGTACTCACAAAGAAAAGACAAAATACTAGGGATTACATCATATTAGTCCAATATGTCTTTTACATTGAAGCATGCAAATCATACATCACCACCCCCAAGCAAGGTGTGTCTTGTTCTTGTTTGTTTCATTATAAGGGGTTACGACCCTTTCAAAATGCTTTTAACTTCCTTGTAAGCAATGGTGTCCATGATTCGTGGATATCTCGATGTTCCTCCATGAACCATGCCATAATACACATGACAAAGACAAACAAAACATAAATCACACTGACAGGAGCATAAAAAAAACAAGGCCATAGCCACATACACATCCAGTCTACTCCCCTGTATGTGGACTAGTGAGTGAAACGGTTGCAAGTGTGTATATGTGTGTGTGTGTGACCCCAAGCTGCAGATGAGGCTGATGTCACCTGTCTTCTTACCTGTTTGGGATGACTGCTGTCCGCTGCGGGTCTTATCAGAGTCCTCTGGTTTACGGCTGTCCACCGAGCGCAGGGATTGGCTACGAGTGCCAAGTCGGCCTCTTCCTGCAGGATGGGGTGGGGTTAGCAACTACAGTCGAATTCTGATCGGGCAGTGCTGTGCGACCTGAACATCTAGACCAGCATCAGCCATGCTTGGGATTTTGTGTGAAGTTACATAGCTGAGAAGAAGTGAACCTGTGTTTGGTTTGATACTCTCCATGTGAACGCGCAACTCTGTGAGAGTTTAGACACTTCTGGGTTTGCGTGACCTCAAAACGTGTGCTTTGAACACCGAAAAACGTGAGGAAGTGTGCAGAAAGAGGGCAAGATGGAGCGAGCAGTGGATGGTGGATGAAAAAATAAGCAGACCATGCGGAACGTAGACACAGACAATCTAGGTGAAGACATCTGCAGTCGATGGCCTTGACCATGGAGTGGGTTATTTACTCATGGCCTCCATCCAAACTGAGTGAAGATCTACTCACTACAGCCACATTCAAACTGATTTGGTCAGTGACGCCCTTACCAAGCATGGCTTCTTGCATTCCTTTGTATTTCACTGGACTTAAACCCTTGCCTTTAGAGGAATACTGCCTGTAGCCTATGGGTCCAATGAAAAGCACACAAAAACGCTCATTCTATCATCAGTCTATCATTATCATTATTATCATTGTGTCACACAAGAAGCAGAACATCTTTTTTTACAGTGAAATGTGAAAAATGTCCAAAATGTGTTGTCAGACAGTGATAGAGAGAGAAAGCTAGAGAAGAAGTGGTTGTGCGAATGGTCACGTGCAAACGTGCATGAGCCTAGAACGCAACTTACCGATGCATGGCTGAGCGTTGCAGGGACGACCTTCTTCCAGAACACCCTCGCACAAGTACGCCTCCTCAGGTGGTGATTGACAGGTGCGTGTACGTGTCTGGACTCCGCCTCCACATTCACTGCTGCACTCCGCCCAGTTGCCCCACCCACTCCAGCCACCTGTATTAAACCCACACATAGACGCATTCACAGTCCGTGTGAGTGTAATTCCCAAGAAAAAGCCATTTATTAATACATTTTCGTGACACAAATTAAATTTCCATCCCTGCTAAGCGATTATGTTCTGATTTCATAATCCATTATGATGGCACTAAGATGTAGAAATTGACCCATAAATATCAGTAGGATATGAGTCCCTGTGTTCTGCTCCCTCATGAATGTTTAATAGCAGACATCGCTGCCTGTCTGATCCTGGAGGCCCCGACAAATATGTATTAATCTGCATGAATAGAACATGAAGCTGGACCACGTCCAGCTGCAGACATGTTTAATTACTCACAAATCAATTGTACAGGGGAGGGTATGTAATTCTACACTCAGTGTCGCTCTACCCAGAAAGTGAGAACTGAAATGAAAGTGAGAAAGAATCAGATACAGCTTATATTTAAAATGTCCATCAGAAGGTTTTAGCATATATTACATGGGGAGGGTCCATACAGACAATGTAAAGATGGCCAATGTAATGGGATCATGTGGGATCCACCATATTACGCAGCGCCTGAAAATAGGCTTATTGGAAGTTACCTAGCTGGGGACTATTTTCAGGCACTGCGTAATATCATTGCGCCTGCTGCACCCATGGTACAGCAGCAAAGTTCCTTGATTATTATGCCGGAATGAGAGTATAGTTCCTTTGGTCATTTTTGAATAAGATGCTAACGGTCTAATCAGATTCAATGATCTATGCTAAGCTACAGCTAAAAGTGCTACCGCCAGACCCAGAGATCGGCTGAATGGATTCGAAAACGGTAAAACTCAACTGTTTAACTCTAGGGGAGTTGGAAAATGAACCTATTTTCAAAAATAGTGGAGTGTTCCTTTAATACATTATGCCACATAAAGGCCAGATATAAAAACAATTTATGCCTTTTTTGCAGCGCTGATACAAATCTGCCGGCAAGCAAGTGCTGAAAAGCAGAATCAATATCTATTTGTTTGAGCAGGATGAGCGATTAATGGCAAATTGTTTACTTGTGGTGCTGAGATTGGCTTTGCCGCATGTTGTGCCAGACACATTCACCTGATAAAACAAAACGGATTCCAATCTTCAATGCCTCGGCCTTGAATATACAATCAAATGTCCTCCTTGCACAGAAAGTGACAATCGCATGCAAAATGAACCGGGATGGCTCTCAGCGCGCTGCCCTGATTAATCTCATCCACCAATCAGCTTCAAGTCAGATGGCTTCATCAACCAATCGCACATGGCATAAACAGCATGCATAGCCAATCCCTGCTCCACGGCGGACTGTAAGTGGTAAAAATCTTAAGTCTTAAATAAGCTTCTCAGCTTCTGTGCTGAATGACTTCAACCTTATTTAAAACAAATGCGTATAAGGAAAGGGTAAGGTAAGAATATTCGTAAGGCAAACAATCTTTAGAAAAGCGAATAAGAAAAAATAATACTCCATTTGGCGATAAGATTTTCTCTCTCTGTGAAAAACTATGGGGGAGTATGACCTTTTTATTTGGCTCAATAATCATGGGCTGAAGGAGAAAAATGGGGGCAGAATAATATAGTGTTTTCTTTCTCTGTCCCCAAGGACATTATGCTTTATACATACATTTATTATGCTTTCAATAATTTAGTGTCCTTCTCTTGTTCGGTGATAGCTCCCTTACATCCAGACTCTTTGCAGAGGACGCTATATCATCTTTAAACTCTCATATTCGTCCTCTGCTCGGATGTTTCTTTCTATTCATCAGCCCTTCCTCTATCATTCTGTCTTTTTGCTCGTTTTTCAGATTGCAGCTGCAGCACGCACCTGCTTTTCAAAGGATAAGTGTGTGGATATACATCATTCTGCCCATTAGTAAATATCATCTTGGCTTACGAAAGCCTCAAAGTGACCTTCACTTTCCCTCAATAGTGAGCAGAAGGTCTAATAACAGCTCAAGTGACAGTGATCTGAATTCATCAATACAAGATCTCACCCACCACTGCCCATTGCGTATCTACTACGAAACCAAGGTCAGACGGTACATCTAAATTACACCCTTCATGCATTGTTTTCTGGTTGCTTATGTGCATTAAAACACATGCCGTGGGTCAGTGACGGAATGCAAAACATGGGAAGTGCTGACACCCAGAGGATGCTACTAGTCATTGGCATCCATGTCGGCAACAAATGAGTGTGCGAGCAAAAAAAGGGATGGTTTAAAAAAATAATAAAAAATATATATATATATAAAAAAAATAATAAAAAATACATCATGTTGTCTGATATCTTTAAAAAAGTTTCTTTAAAACGTCTTTTTTATTGATGTTTTCTCTATCTGTCCCTCTGATGGCTGAAGCTCACAGGTCTAATCCACTGTTCTGTGTGTGTGTGCATTTCTGCTGTCAGTACCCTGCTTAGAATAAATATTTGAACAGCTGTGCTTACACATCTCATTGATTAACCTCACTCCAGGGGCAGGAAACAACCTCGGTTTGCACCCTTGCCGCTTCGCATAATCTTTCCCGTCTTGCACCGCAGTGCTCAAAATGGCCCACGCAAACCAACTCTCAATTAAATGACCACACATTTCCTACACATTAATTTTAACATGGTTTCTGTCAATATGTGGGGGATTATACTGACCAACAGCTCCTAATAATTGCATAATTTTCCTTTGAGATTTTAGTTGACTTGAAACTGTGGAATAATGTTATTCTATCATATTTTGACAGATTTATCTGAGACATTCAGGCAGCAGGTGATGTACAGTATTTAGCTCTTAATTAAACCGTTTGATGTGTATTTAATTAACTGTATCTAGAGATGGTATTTAATGCAGAAATGACCATAAAATTAAATAAAGGCAGCAAATGAGTTTGAAAGAAAGATTGCTGAAATGACATCAACACCTTTTATTTACTAATAAAATAAATTGTATTTATATTAAAATGTTATAAGCTCCAGCATCCCCGCAAGAGAGGATAAGCGGTTTTCGAGAATTAATTTTAATTAATAATATTAACAATATTGTTAACATTATACATTGCATACATTTTTATGATACATAAGTGTATCCTGCTACTATTTATTAAATGCTTTTTTATCAATGAGCCAATGAGAGTGTGACTGATCATGTCACCAGAGATAATAATAAAAAATTATAATTAATAATTAATAATTGACTTAATTTATTAATGATTCACTTCAAATGAATAGTAGTGGTTAAAGTAAACTAGCTGTAAGTGCAAATAAATAAACAATAAAGCAACGAACACCAATAAAAGTAGGAAGAAAAAGTAAAAATAAACAAAGGGAGGTCTTTTCATTCATCTTACAATGTCTGCTTACGATTCATAAATTTCAGTGATGGAAATAGTTACAAAATATCTGTTTCTCCCATACACTTACATTTATGGATAAAGAATTTATTCAGAATCATCATTACTTTAATGAAAAATTCAGCTTTTTTGTCATCCAACAATATTCAAAATACAATGTGGTTTCTAGAAAAAAAAAAGTATGCAGTGATTGGGCTATTGTTTCCAACCGATAAGGCATATCTTCCCAGGTAATATTTGAGTGCTGCAGTAAACTAAGTTAGTCTAATTGATTTCTCAAAACTGTTCACTGACAAAAATGCAGGCGGAAGTTGATGACACTACTAATTCAGAATCAGATGTCATTATGTGTCTATTAATCTCAATTAAGACACAATTATGAATGTTTTTATTTTCTAATAGTATAAATGTATACTATTCACAAAAACAGCTGTCAGCTGTCTATCATCCAAGATTGTTAGCAGATTTAGACTTGCTTTGTGTCAGTTCCTAAAACAATGAAACATTTTGTTCTGTTGTTTCTTCTCTGGTGATGTGATCAACCACATTCTTTCTCTTTGGCTCATTAATGATCACTGGGCCTGCGTCTTTTTCTGTCTCATAGGTTAATCCTGGTGATTGCGATTCGTGTTTAGTGATGATCACTACTTCTGCTCTGTCTTTCAATGGTCACACAATGACAAAACCAGTGACTTCTCATCAGCAGGGTGCATACGCTACAAGATTACGACGTGTGTCAGGTGGGGAGCTCAGAGTCTGCACTGTTTACCAATGAGCAAGTAGATAAACAGATCAAAAGTACGACAGAGATATGAATAGGGGTTTGGTTGAATGTTCTTTGGTTGCAGGTGCGGGTCAGAGAAGTCGACGTTTCAATTCCGAAGATGGATGCCTCTCCTCAGCAGGAACAAAAGGGGAAAAATCTAGCTCGAATCAAAAACACCTTCACTAAAAGGATCAGATGGGCCTCCCACTTTTCACAGGCCTACAGATGAGTGGAAAAATAACAGGCTTTTTTTATTTTCCTCTTGCACATCAATCTTCAGCAGAGAAACATCTGCTCATAAGACCAAAAGGACGTGGGTGCACATGTGAACACAAAAGAACACACCATATTTGCCTCACTTCCATGCACTTTCAGCTCTCGGATCAGTGACCGCCAAAATGGATCATCACATTGGGGCCGAACTAACCGGAACAGCATCAAACTCTCCAAAACTCCAAGACCTTTACAAAGAAATAAGTTAATTTAATTTTAAACGCTAAGAAGCAAGATAGCACCCTGTCTAGTACTAAATAAGCTGCATGTGCAATTGTAATTTTGGTAGTGAGATTACATATATTTACTATATATTGAGGGTGATTAAAAGACAAATAATGAATAATAGCATAATTATTCCAGCAGTCAACTGTGAGAAATTGTTTTACTTAAAAATGCTACTTATGAGTGATTTACTTTGTGAATTTCAGTGGGTACATCTAGTAAACAAGCCTTATTATTGCAGCAAGTTAGTTTAATTGAATTCTTCAAACTGGCAGCCGTCCACTATTAAAAATACAGGCAGACTTTTAATGATGAGACTATTCATAGCCAGATGTTATGGTATGTGGAATGCACAGTCTATTATTTAATCTCAACTAAAACACAATATATGTCATT